AGCAGTTATGCTTTGCAAATATATCCTAAAAATAAAGATAAAATGAAACATTTTCAGACACACACGAACAAAAGCTGAGAGAATTTTTCCCTAAGAAACTAGTACTAAAAGAAATATTAAATGGAGTTCTTCAGCAGAAGGGAAGTTATCCCAGATGGAAACACAGAAATGTAGGAAGGGATAACGAGTAATTGATAAGGACACTTAAGTCAATGAATATAAATGACTATGGATTGAACATTAACAGTACAATGCCATAACAATATAGGATGGGTTTAAAATATATGAAGAATTAAAATGTATGAAAACGATAAATGGAATTAAAGTGCTCTGAATTTGTAGCATTGTGAGGAAAGAGGCAAAGTAATCGTTATTTGCGAAAGGCACATTTTAAATGAATCATGAAGATTGCTGTAAAAGGAATGAAAAATATATTAAATGCAAACACTAAACAAGGCTCAGGTGTATCAGAAAAAGTGGGTCTTAAGTGAGAATTATTTTTAGAAATAAGGGGGACCTTTCATAATGAATATATCACTTTCATTAAAGTGTATATAAAAGGAATGAAAAATATATTAAATGCAAACACTAAACAAGGCTCAGGTGTATCAGAAAAAATAGATCTTAAGTGAGAATTATTTTTAGAAATAAGGGGGACCTTTCATAATGAATATATCACTTTCATTAAAGTGTATATTTTGTAAGCACCATATATCTGGATCCTATTTTTCTAATTCAGTCTAACAGCATTTGTCTTTTAATTGTACTGTTTACTTCATTTACATTACTGATGTAATTTCTGGTTAAACTTATGTTTAATATATCATCTTAATATTTGAAATCTTGGATGTATAGTACTGGGTACCAGAATTCTGCCATAGCTGTCCCAAAGCAACCAGATAATTCCACTGTTGTCTTGCCAAATAATCTAATCCCTGTGCACAATGACATCCCTCATTTGGCCCACTTCTGCCTGCAAGTTTTGCAATAGTGTCGCAGACTAGCAGAAACTAAGTTACATACAGGCGCCGTAGCTGCAAAAAGTCTGTAACAGAAAGGCAGGCCGGAAGAGGTTAGAATGCATGTTGAGTGAGCAGCCTCCCGGATCTGCTGCAAACCAAGTAAAGAGAATAGGGAAGTAAGAAATCCAACTAGGGAAGAACAGCTTCTAAGGTACATTGGCACGCAGCCACGAGAGCAGAGCCACATTTATTCATGGCCTCCCCTCCTTCTTACATTAAGATTTAGAAACTCGGCCTTAGGAGAGTCATAACGCTTCTCCATGATATAAAATAAGGAGTTTTTGGGGGGGTGGGGGGCGACTTTGGAGACCTTGGTCAAATGACTTGTCCTGTGTAGGACTCAGTTTTATCATCTAGAATTCAGCATCGTAATATATTGCACAACTCACAGGACTGTTATGAGCGTTAAGTAACAATGTATAGGCAAGCATGTAGTGTAATCCTGGCACACAGAATATGTTTAACATGTGTTTCTAATATCTGAAAGACAGCGATCATGGCAGTTGATAACAAAGAAAGAGGACTCGAGATGAGTAATATGGTATTGATTTTATTTTCTTCTTCTTTCAGAAGTCAGTCCTGCTAGGCCAATAGCCAAAGGAGATGGTAAGCAGGACTTACGGTGGCACGTCTGTTCCTGACTCAGATGTGAACACAATAGAGTTTCATTTCTACCTGATGGAACTACTTTTCTACAGAAAAAAATAAAAGGCAAGTACAGGGATTACATATCACATAGAACAAGTATAACAGGAGACAACATGCTCTGGAGCCCATCAGGAAATGCCCAGTTAAGGGTGTCACAGTTCTTTGAAATTGTAATCCATGCCCACAAGGGCAGAAGCTCTATGGGGTTGGGTTATTATTATTTTTTTTAAATGTTTTATTGAGGTATAAGCTATGTACAATAAAATTCAGCAATTTTATGTCTACGATTTGAAGAGCTTTGATAAATAACTACAGTGGTAACCAACATGATATGGAACATTTGCATCACCTCGTAAGTTCCCACCTGCCCCTTTGAAAACAATTTTTCCCCCCACAACCTGGGCCCTGGGCTAC